ATCACAACATGACCGGGACACCATCAAAACATGACCGGGACACCATCAAAACACGACCGGGACACCATCACAACATGACTGGGACACAATCAAAACATGATCGGGACACCATCACAACATGACCGCGCCACCATCACATGATCGGGACACCATCAAAACATGACCGGGACACCGTCACAACACGACCGGGACACCATCAAAACATGCCCGGGACACCATCACAACATGACCGGGACACCATCACAACATGACCGGGACACCTTCAAAACATGACCGGGACACCATCACAACATGACCGGGACACCATCAAAGCATGACCGGGACACCATCAAAACAGGACCGGGACACCATCACAACATGATTGGGTCACAATCAAAACATGATCGGGACACCGGGACACCAGCATCACATGACCCGGACGCCATCAAAACATGACCGGGACACCATCCGCCCACCAGCTCTGACGGTGACCCGACGGCGCCCGTCCGCCTATTAGTTTTGCAAGACCCCAATAGCATGAGTTATAATATGTTATAATATGATTTCAGATCTTCACTATTTCACTGACAGTGGTGAAGTTGACCTGCTGAGCTTCAAGGTGTTTGGTGTTTTTTCGTCATGCTTTTCATTTAGTGTACCAGTCTTCCAGAATTGATTGAAGGATGTTGAAGGGAACATCTACAGGAAACCATTGTTCTTTTTTAACCCCGAGACTGTGGGTTTACTGTGGATCTTCCGTTGAACCATTTCTGGAGCAGTTGGTCTTGAGGGTATCCATGGGTACCCTATTCTTAAGTCATAGCCACATGTTAGGGGAACCATCCGGACCCAGCGGCGGCCGGCCCTTCTTTATGAGAGCAACTGTTTTGAAAGAGAGGCTGTTTGCTCTTCAGGCTTCAGTTTGGAATGCCTTTCTTTTTCCGAGCAGGACCTTGTAACTGCATAGGTTCCGTGACTGTTCTGAACACAAAGGTGCTGTTTCCAGTGCAGCGTTTTCACTAAATGCTGCAAAACAAGTAGACGCCTCCTTGGAAGAAGTTCAGCTGCGCGAGCACCAGAGCCCTGCACTTTGAGCATCCCTGAACCTTCACAAGTAGAACATTCCTCTCAGCAACTCCACCCATGGCTTATAGGCGGCTTGAAAAACCTTGCTTATTGATTGCAATGGTCTGATAGAACATGGGGCAGGGGTGATCTACTGAGTATGCGACAGTTGTGACCTCGGACCATTTACTATTCTTTTGCATGTAGATGTAGGTGCCATCACATCCGAGACGAATTACCTGTATCATTGTTTTCGCTGTGCTGGCCACGAAAAAATGTGTCCACAGGACTTGGCGGCATTGGAAAAGGATTACGAAGAAGTGGGCATCGAAACAGCCGAAGGCCAGGCCACAACATGCGAGCCGTGTTTTTTCAAAAAGCTGCTTCAACGGTGATGACGAGACATGTTCGTGAACATGTCCCGGACTCCTGTGGGAACAACCCGACGTCCGACCAGCCATGTTCGCTTCTTCGCCTTTCTCAGCGATGTTTGCGAACGGTTTGTGGTGCCCAGGTGAAGGTGAAGAGGAGGGCCACTTGGATGGTTAATCTGTCACGGGCACTGGGGGGGTTGGGCCTTAAAATCCACCACTGCTTGCAGGTGATGAACATGTCCTATACCATCCCCTAAAGCAGGCAGCTATATACAATTTTAAAGCTGGTAAGTAGTGACGTAGTGTAAGTAGTGCAGTTCTAAATCTTTTCAAGCAATAGCTGTCCTTTCCAGGGAGATGATATATATATATATATATAGTTGACTAAGGCTAACTAGCTGCCGGCCACGTGAGTTTGAGTTGGAGGGACTGATCCTAAAACCTTAAGTGACACCGACCGGTCCTTGATGGTCTCTAGCTGGGTCGATCGAAGACGTGGATCGACTGTGGGGAATCGAACTGGTCTGCGTGTCTTTTTGGGCGTTGGCTTAGCGGTGGCTCAGCACTCTTGTTTGGATGCTGATGCTAACCAACAACTACATTCAGGCACCTTTACAGATGAAAACATCCACGAAGTAGATGGGCTATTCATGGGGCCATGTTGAAGCAATGCCCTCGAGTGTTTTGGGGTTCTATCAGGGCTGGGATAGAAAAGGCATTGTTTTTTCCAAATATCACACCATGCTGCCTCTTGAATCCCTAGCAACATGAGTATGTCCACAGATCTTGACCTTCACTTGCTTGGTTTCTGACTCTGAGGCTATGGCGATGAGTTCTGAGTCTCACGCCACCAGTGACGCACGTCGGCGCCAGCAACACGGGCATCGACGCGAAGCGGTGGCGATTCACGTGCTGGGTCACTGCAAAACCCAGTCGTGGGTCACTCCGCATGCCTGCAAACAGTGCTCTTTTGGCGCTGTGGAATTCGGCAAAAAAGAACATCAGGGCGGAGTGCTTTTTGCGCCGGGCTGTGAGCATCGCCCTCGCCCCCCTCCTCGCCCCTCGCCGGCCTTGATCTTTCCGGTGCCTTCGGTGCTTCAGGTGCTCATCCCCACCTGGTTTGGCTTCGCCTTTGCTGGCATGATCATGTTCGGGCGACGGATGCAGGCGCGTGCGCGGGTGCGTTTCTTTTTTCCCGGACTCGGTTCGCGGTGTTCTTCGCAGTTCTTTTTGGGCGGGAGTCTATTTTTTGCGGTGATGGCGTGTGGGCCAGGCAGGCATGGGATGGGTTTAGCTGGTTCCATTTCTGGTCAGTATGATCACTTGATGATTTAGACTATTGACCGGAGAGCAGTGGGCAACAGCTGGCTTTTGCACATTGTGTGACTTTGTGTGCCCTTGTTGACACAGAAGCACAATTATAGATACTTTAGCCCAATTTCCAAGAAGTGTGTGTCTTGTACATATATATATATATAGAAACACTGACTATAACCACTTCGTCATCCAGAGCTCCTGCCGGAAGGATGAGACACATGTCAGCCACTTCAAGCACCCTGGACCCGCCTTTCAGCCACTCCTTTGGAAGTCAACCAACGACTTCTTCTGCTTGAGCTGGGTGACATTGGGTGACGGTTGAATCACTTCGCACGACGCAACACGCAGTTGACACGCAACACGCGGTTTCAGGCCTTCTCCACTCCCTTGACGGGATTTGCGATGTGCCTTGGAAATGGATGGACGTTCCGTGTTTAAAGAAGACAATCAAACATCAGGAAGAATGGAAGATATGCCAACATTGAGCCCTGAAACCTATGCCAATGTCTGTATATATATATAATATATATATATATATGTGCAACTCCCATGGAGTTTCCGTGTTTATATAATCCAAAACGCGTTGTTTCACTTGGTCGGCGGAGACCATATATGGTCACCCCCGTTCGAACCACGACAACCATGGGAAGACTACCCGTGAAATCCCGTGAATCCATCTCCGAAGCGCCATCATGATCATCATTTGATTTGGACACAACCTGCCTCAAGGTTCGTGACTTACCCATGAACTCAATACCCCCCCTGCAAGTCATCATGCACTATACCATCGGGGACTCTAGGGTGGCTGCTCGTCGAAGCGTGGCTGCTTGACCCCTGAAAACGCACGTCGAAGACGAAATAAACGGCTCAGCGCTCCCGGAAAGGGTTCGACTCATCCGAAGGGCTGCGATCTGCTCGTCCCCTCCGTTTGGATCGAGTGCCTAGTCCCGTCGATTCCTGGCGATTTCCTGGTTTCTGCGACGATCTCAAGGCCACACCGAGTTTGCATACACACCCCTTGGATCCCCTTGGTTTAGAAGCGATTTCAGAAGCTTGATTTTTAGGCAGATGTAGTGAGTAGAAATCACAAGATTTCCAGCAATACCCGATGGTCTCCCTCATTCCCAACGCAGCCAACCCCACTACATCCCAGCCAGACTGCAGGTTCGGAGTAGATTGCAAACAATGCTTGCACAACGTATAGATCGGTGCATGAGACATGACCATGATTCAGCTGTTTGGGCTGTTCACACCGCATTTCCTTGTACTTCGTCTGAACTTGTCCTTCGAGCTTCACCTCACTCCTGCTGACCGCGCCTGCGACGACCGCCTGCGACGACCGCGCCTGCGACGACCGCACCACTAACTCGTCAGTGACTCGTCAGAGCGAGAATTCAACGAGGTGCCTACAACTGGCCATGGAGGGTGAATACGACTGGCAAGGGATGTCCTCAGAGGAGCTGAACATGAGAAACGAGTCGTTCGTGTGCAGGAGGAGAGCTAATTAGTCAGTGGCAGAAGCCAACAAAAACACCCGATTGTGTTCAAGAAACAGCATTTGTTGAGATCATTGATCGGCCCGGAGTAAATTTCTGGTGCTCGCCAACTGGTTGAATGATAGGGATCAACGTTGGAGCCCTGTTCTGTTGGGGGGCCAATCGGACATGCGAAGCTTCAGTGACTTTGGACCTTCACGTCGTTCGCTGCAGCTCTAGGAATGGAGCCTCAAGGCTAAGTGGTCTAAGCGCCCAGAATATGTAAGACACGCATGCCTCCAAAAGCGCTGCATAGCATGTCTTGGCATAATCTAACACGCTGTGCCACTTGCACTGCATCAAGATTCGTTGTGGGCTTTAGAGAGGAACTTTTTGTGGGGCTTAACTTGGGTTTGTCTAGACTCTAGACTCAGTCATGGAAGGTAACAAACGCTTCTCTGTTTCCCTTGACTGTGGAAACCTATAAGTGTTGGAGATGGTCAGCATACAGACATTGTTGGAGATGGTCCCCCCTTTAAAGGACCTACTCCGCCAATCGCGAGGACTGGTTTATCACTTTGCTGTGGGTCTGGATCTACATGGTTCTTCTGGCCGGGATGCCTGGGAGCTTCTTTCACGTTTGCCGAAATGCAAGAAATCACAGGATGAAGAACCTGCTTTGGGTGTCTTCCGAGCGGCTGAAGAAAAGGAAAAAAAAGGGCAATGACGGCACAAGGCAGACTCTTGATGAAGAAAACATAAGAACCCCCCTACCCATGTGGATTGTCACTTCGGGGAGTTTTATTAATCAAGAGCCAAGAGTCTACATTGCTTGGGGTAGATGTGCTCCTTGTCCTTCTTGGTGACCAGGGATTTCCTTATCGACTGACATCGCTTGGCTTCGCAGTGCTAACCCACGACAACCGTGAACTTAGTCACAGCTATGACGGACACCAGACCCATCCAGACGCCATGTGTCAGCGTTGCAAAACAAATCATAGCTACATGGTGTTATATGACCCCCCCCTCCTGGCATACACTGAGGTCATGGTCATGTTGAACATGGTCCTCGCCATCATCATGGACGTCTATGCTGAGGCACCCGAGCTCCGCTGGAGGATGTGCTGGCTCTTTTTTCTATTTTCGGAGCTGCGAAGGTCCACCGGAGCTGCGAAGGTCCACCTGACGAAGGGTTTAGGACGTTTTTAGGACGAAGGGAATCAACGCACGGAAGAACACATGTTTTTTGTTTTTTGGGTGAACGCATGTGAAAGCTCCCTCTCTCTCTCTCCATGCTATGTGGATGCTATAATACAATCCTCTCAAGAGTCACAAGTTTTTTTAGAATTGGCGGTTGAAGTGAAAGATGTGAGACATAGATATGCACATTCCGCCGTCGCAAGAATCTTTCTAGGGCTCCCCGGCCTCCAATCTTTGCCTGTTTGGCGACTTAGGGAAAAAACCGTTGTCCCGCCGTATGTTTTTGCCGGTCCATCCCCCAGAAGTCTCAGATGCCTGACCGCTATATTGCTCGAGCGATCCGAAAAAACAACTCGATGGAGGACCAGCTCGATTCATCACGAAAAAAGGGGGGCGTTTTCCCAACACAATGTGAAACTCCGTCCAAGTCGGATGTGGGGAGCTGTTCGGGGAGCTGTTGGGCTTGCTCCTTCCAAGATAACCCTGGTGACGCGAAGTGTCTCCATCTGACTGAGATCCTCTGTTTCCCTTGTCTCATTTGCCTCCATCCGTGGTGAAACATGTATCAGCCTGGTGATGAACCATGATGCACTGAGACCCGGCCAATCGCCCCAGTCGACAGGTTCGACGAGAACAGGGCGAGACCATGTCCATGTTCGAGCACTGCGCTGGCCTCAGACGCACCGGTCGCATGCACCGTGCGGTCCGCCGTGGAAATTGGCCGTGCGGTCCGGTGGTGGTCGACGGCGTGGAGGGCGACCGGTGTTGCAATTGGAGCGATCTCGCTTTTTCTAAGGCTTCCTGAGCCTCTGAAGAAAAGGAATTCCTAGTGGAATCCTTTAGTCTGTGATTCATCATCTACTGGAATGCAGGGGTCTGCTGGAACAGTCTGAAGTGACACCTGTACTGTGCGTAGATCATGCCTCACATTGCCTTACCACTGCCTTGACGTGAAGGCCGAAGGCCTTTTTCATTTTTTGGGATGACAGATAAGACCAATCTCCGAAAAGGAAAAGAAGTCAACACCTGGAGCTCCGATGACCTTGCTGCAGTCGCGCCAAGGCACATACCTTTGCAAGAGAGCCTACTACTTCAAGACTTGGGTTTGGAGCCTTGGGAAGGTCCACTTTGGTCGCCGTCTTCTGCAATCTTGCGGAGATGCCCGAAGGATTTGAACCTTGACAACCAGAGAATTTCTGCCTTCCTTGTCCTCAACACCGGCCTCTTCAGGCAGATTAGTGTTGCAAACTAAGTGGAACATACAAGGATCAGGTGTTTTGGGGACCGCTGTGACCGCCAGCTAAGTATATATATATAGGTGTTTAGCCGCTTAGCCTTTTTGGGCTGGCTGGTGTGGGGCCCTGCATATCCCTGCATGGTCCTGAACCAACGGATGGCACCAAACCTCCCATGCGAACGGAGAACAGTTGCAGCTTTGGAGTTCCAGAAGCAAAAAGTCTGACTTGATCCACTGAACCCCATGAATCCGAATGAATCCAACTGAATCCTACAAGTTGAGCCAACGATTCCCCCAAAAGCAACACAAGTACCTCCAGCAGGAACCTGGAAAGACTTGCTTCCTCATCTACACTTCGTTCAGTGCCAGCTTGGACTGGACATTGGATTCAAGCCTCTGCTGCTACTGACCTGCTTGCCGATGAGGTGCCTGACCGTGAACTGTGGGGTCCCCAGTCATGGGAGCAGATGCACAAATCCAGCTAAGGGATGGTCAGATGGATAATGGTCTTGAGTCTTGTTTGAGACTTGAGAAGTGAACTTCGATCATGTGGTACTCTACAATCAGGAAGAATTCGACAACTCTGATTTCACTGTGATGATTTGATCATGATTTGTGTAAACATTATGACTCGACCATTCCAAGCTGTGGAAGCGAAGTGGGTGCAACAGCTTTGTCCTGAATGCCAGCAGTGATGGTCCACAACCCTTGATGAATCCCTTTTGTAAGATGCATGTCTGTGAAGAGGTACTTTCCATAGTTAGACTGTGGTGGACTCCGTTCGTATCTATTCAGGGACTCAAAGAGACCCTTTTTGTACCTTTTTGCTGAGTTTATCATTCAAGATCCAGTCGCATCAAACTTGAAGCTGTGGAGCCTGGCAAATCATGGCGATGGCAACGCTTCTCAGAAGAGGCACCCCAAAACTGCGCCCGCCCCAAACGGAGCGCTTCTTTTTGTTCAGCTCTCATTTTTTGGATTTGGACACATACTCAGAGTAGCGTTATGATATTTTTTTCAGGCCCCGGTAGACAGGGATTATTGTTTGGGGCAGCTCAATTTGCAAGAGGCTGGTGTTCTTTTCACACCGGTAAAGGGCTTCGCAGTAAGCACTAAGCACCTCCTGAAAGAACAGCGGTTTCTCTCAAACTCAAAGGTGCTCCCCGCAGGCACGTCAACCCGCATTTCTCCGGCACCCAGGTGGGAACGTGTCATTGAGATGCCAGAGACTGTGACGGTGGATGACATCTTAGAGGCTTTCACCTGGGGATGGGTCCATTTATATAAGACCCCAACAAGTTTAAAACATCTTGTCAGATGAACATCCTGGCCGCCTGGCCAGTCTTCATTTGGCTCCTTTTCGGGGTGCACCAGGGTACATCTTCCAGTGCTTGCTGTGAACGAAAGCGTCGGGCCTTGTTTTCGCGGATGCCCTGCGACCCTTCCTGGAGGGTGGCCCCAAGGGCCTTGACAGCGCCGGTTGGTTTAGACGTTGAACGGCCAGGTGTTGGTGGAGAGTTCGGTGTCCCACAAAGACCAGTCCGTTTGACCCTCCCTGCCGTTCCCCGGGGCTCTTTCAATCGCCTTATGGTTGGGGGGGAAGAGGCCCCCCACCTTCAGTTCACATTGGCTCCGAAATAAACTAAACCCCCCATATATGAAGAGGCTTTCGAATTCGGTGGGTTTATTCATCAAGAGTCTACATTACTCGAAAATTCGCAACAAGGCGGCGGGTTTCTGGCACTCGAGGCCAGCGCCCAAGTCGGTCTGAGCCCCTCGGCCAAGCACCACGAAGCCCAGCGCCCACAACAGTCCGACTCGTCCAATTTTCTGTGAGACGGAGGTGGTGCCTCCCAGGTGTTGTGCCCCCTGAAGCCGCAGAAGTTGATACAACATGATACAACTCATCCTGGAAAACAGCCCCCTGTTATTACTGCAGGTTTTAGGGATGTGATCATCAGTCACGACAGAGCATCTTCCGCTGTTTTGAGTTGACCGATCCAAGTGGCCATGCAGGCATACCCCGACATGCCGCAATTCCAGTGCTGAGCTCAAGGGCAGACGCTTCAAGTGGGCTGGCTGAGACGTATAGACCGATGACTTGTGTCAGGGACTTCAATTAGATCAACCTTTCACCATCTTCACCTACGTCAGTGTGATCGCTCTTCGAGATGTCTAATAGTCAAAGTCACTAATGTGGACTCCGTGATGTAAGCCTCTTCAACTGGGGTTTTGTTATCAACAGTCTACGCTGCCAGGGCAATCTCTTGTGGCAAAGTAGATTGGCCTCTTTCTTTAATTAGCATCAACAGCCAGGGCAGTTCAATGAATGTGTGCACTTATGACTGGCGAGAGTACGGTGTCAAAGTTAGTGCATGGCACCATTTGCTTGAGTGAACTGGAGTTTTTGGATTGTAGAGATAGAAGGATGCCCATCCGTCGCTCCGTGTGCATCGGGGTTGCCACAAGATCGGTTTCGCTCTCTGAGGCCAAGGGTGGTCCAACCCAAATTGACTCAGATTCACCTCTTAGAACTACGCGGAGAGGGCCATGTGCAGCTAGTAGAACATGCCCCAAAACGATCAAACAACCAGGACCAGAGTGATGAGGCCGGACGCTATGTCGTCCAGGAAAACAGTTTGCATCGCGTGGAGAGGCCCGTGAATCCCATGATCTGGCCCGTCGGAACCGTGGAGACCCGAGGCTGAACTTCCTCTGCAACGGCGCTCGAAACCGCACCAGAGCCCGGGGGCCCTGTTTGGGGAGCTGGGCGACGGTCTGGTTAAGTCATGTTAAGTCCAGATTGTTTGCAGAAGAGTAAGCGGAAGCTTTCTGATTTTCAGGAATGGTTGGGGGGCGCCCATTGCAAGTGCAGGATGGAGTAACTCGTTGATCACAAAAGCCCTTTTAACCGATAATAGGAGCAAAGGAGAAGGGCTCCGATCCTGCTCCAGGAAACGTGTTGCTTTGAGGCGAAAGGGTGTGATGTGTAAGGTGCCAGCGACCCGGAGCTTCTGAGCTTCTTCCAGCGACCCGCAGCTAGGGTTTTGCCAAGGTCCAGGTGATCTAATGTTGCAGGGGATTTCTTTTTTAAAGCCAAGATCGGTGTGGACTTATTCGCACTCTCCGATTGGTGAGCACTTGGCAGACCATGCTTTGGTTAGGCCAGCACCTTGCCTTTCAGATGTTCTATCCTCCCCACAAGACCAATCTTCGGAAGTTCCATCCTCCCAGGGACCCTTCCGCAAATCCTGCTCCCCGCACCACGTGCCTGCCCACGCCAACCCGTTGCTCGTGCCAGGTGATTCAGCGGAAGGGCATCCACCCCACCTGGACTGTGCAGATGGTGGCGGCCATCCATATCAGTCTCGACGAGGCCCGCTCTCTCCGCCTGTTCTCCGTGGGGTTCACGCCACGTGTCGGTCCTGGTGCCATGGCCAAGAGGGAGACGATGGGAGAAGATCGGTGAAGACGACGAGGACGGCGAAGACGACCGTTCGGACGAAAGCACGGCAACAACCACCGGGGCTGATGGGGTGTCATAGAAGTCATGGATGGCAGCTGGATAGACATCAGCTGATGGATGGTGTTTTGGAGGGAAGTGTTGGGAGTGAAAGGCACTGAAAACCGGAACCTCCATTTCACACTGTGAATTCTGCAGCGACTCCTTTTCTTCGGACTTCAGCCGTTTGAAGTGTCCCTTGTCCGCTCGCTGGCCGCCCCTGGAAGTAGACGGACTCATCCCTCCTATTTCAGAAACAGGCGCCCTCCGGATCACCGTTTCACGGCGGCGCGGCGCCTCTCAGATCATGACGGACCTCAACAAGCTCAAGAAGCGCGGCTGGATGGGCAAAGGCTTCGAGGTCCGGACCCTCGCTGCGGTGTCAGTAGGGCGTAGACAAAGACAACGTGTTCTCCGCGCCCGGGGGGATAAGTGTTGTGGGGGGATAAGTGTTGTGGCGGTGGTGGCAGGGGGTGAGGTGGTGTACTGGTGAGGGGCGGAAAGGAAGAGAAGGCGTTCTTTTTGAAAAAGAAAGTGATTCGAGGATTGAAAAGCACATGGCCTGAAGAGTCTCAGTTGTGAGGACATTGACCCCGTCACTGGTGGTTTTGCGATCCAAACAGGTGCTTTTGTCTTCATATGTTGGTCCGGGGTCACCTGAAAGATTCCTGAGATGAATCTGTTTCCAATATAGTCATCCAAACTCCACTAGTCAGCCTATTTTTTAGCTGCTGTAACATTGTGTAAGCCCAGAGATATGATACCCAGAGGCCCAAGGAGGCTTTTTGGTGCAGCAAGTGTTGGAACGTTGATTCATCAGGGCGGAGATGCTCGGTAGAGCTCAGCATGTATTTTGAGAGTAGATGTAGGGCATTGCCAGTAACAGTCGGTAGAAAATAATCACTCTTTTGAGAAAGGCCTGCAACCTAACAATCACAATCACAATCACCATCACCATCACCATCGCCATCACCATCATCATCATCATCATCATCATCATCATCATCATCATCATCATCA